CATAGCACATCCTGTATTATTGATTTATCAGAATTTTCTGATTTTAATCTAGAACTCTTTCAGAATGAGCTGTCCCCTTCAATCCATAATGCATTTAACACAATCTCTATTGCAGGTTACTTAGTTATAGAAAATCCATCAAGTAAGTTTAAGTATTTTTTTCTGTTTTGAATATCGACTTTAGATTTACTGACTCTGTGAATCTTAATGTGTGGTTCCCTTTTCGTATGTTTGTTGGAAAAACCTCCAAGCTGGATATAAATCATAAAAGCATGACTAATTGCATGGTAACTGGAGAAATGCTTTCTCTCTCTCTGGGGTGAAGCTTGCATGTCTGTATTTTAGCTTGGGAAGTAATACGGGGATATTTAAACTCCTTGGGGTTTAAAAACCATGTCATTATGAGAATGAGGTCACTGCAATATTTTATATCTTCTAAAACCTTGTAATGTATAAAATGTTTTCTGTATGACAAAGAGGTATTATATGCTTTAGGATTCAATGATAACTTTATGGCCTTACATTTACTTGAAAAACTTTCTTCATGAAAATGTTAAATCCTTCATTTAAAGTCACTGAAAAATTGAAGGAATTTTGTACCATGAATACAAAGAAAGTGAACTTAAAGAGGAAAAATTAATTTTGTAAATATGACAGAGTGACTTTAAAGGGCTGTGTTGTTTGTGGTTTTTGAGACGTCCCTTGTTCTTTAACTTAAGAGTGCAGCCAGTGCCCGTGTTAAAGCAAACAAATACAATCTAACATGACTCCATTTTATACCTTTCTTTACTTGGAGGCCAATAAGCAAGAAATCCTTCCTGCAACATGTTGAAGAGCTTTGCACAAACAACAACCTAAAGTTTCAAGAAGAATTTTCGGTATGTTACTAGCAGTTGTCACAACATTGCAAGACCTCCAGTCGTTTCATGTGACACATTTCATGTCCATTTTAAGCATGCAAGGCCATGAAGGACTCTGGCCTTGATAATCAATACCCAATTACCAGGTTGATTGTTTGGATAGTAATGTTACACTGGTCAGCCTCTGGTGCAACCTGATCAGAATTATTCACCTACTGTGTCAGGAAAAGGTGCTCTTCCTCAGACCTCCCCTGCAATAGCAGCCTGTCCTTGTTTGTTCTCTGTTCTTTCATTCAGATGTAGATGCAAACCTAGA